GTTAAGCTTAATTTAAAAAAAGAAAAGAAAAAAAAAAAAAACAACTGGGGAATCCAAGGTCAAGATGTTGGCGCGTGCAAGGTCGCGATGTACGATCATCAGTGATGGCCCATCCTCGGTGGGAAGCTCTTGGGCGAGGCTTGGGGTGTACGCGAACACCGCGTGGGAGTCGAACGTCAACAATCACTACACCCAAACTGGAATGTCAGGCTGCTCATCAGCAACAATGGTTTACTTGTTTGCGCGGCCAGACGCGGGTTTTCGTAACATGCACGCGGTTATAGAACATCAATAAGGCGTGGTTGCTTCCCTTGTTGGGATGTATTATTATTATTATTAATTTTTAAAAAAAAAATATTTATTTCTTAAATTTTTGCATGTTTACGGTAACATTCCAGCGTTTCCTTTCCCGTGGGTTAATCACCCATGCAATATGGCTTTTCATCTTCTCCTGTTTCCCGTCCGATTTAAAAACGTAAAATGTCAAGGAATCTTTTGTGTTTATTTTAGGATGTTTTTTTTTTCGGGGAGGGGGGGGGTGTTAATTGTAACAGCTAGATCGGTCTTGCGTGGGCGGTGGTAAGGGAAAATGGACAAAGATGGAAAAGGGGGNTTTGCATGTTTACGGTAACATTCCAGCGTTTCCTTTCCCGTGGGTTAATCACCCATGCAATATGGCTTTTCATCTTCTCCTGTTTCCCGTCCGATTTAAAAACGTAAAATGTCAAGGAATCTTTTGTGTTTATTTTAGGATGTTTTTTTTTTCGGGGAGGGGGGGGGTGTTAATTGTAACAGCTAGATCGGTCTTGCGTGGGCGGTGGTAAGGGAAAATGGACAAAGATGGAAAAGGGGGGGGTGTTAATTGTAACAGCTAGATCGGTCTTGCGTGGGCGATGGTAAGGGAAAATGGACAAAGATGGAAAGAAGGGGGGGGGGGGGCGCCGGGTTCTTGGGCAAGTAAAGATCGCGGTTACAAGACTGATTTATTTTTATGTCACTTAGTGGCCATTTCTTTATAAACTGTCCGATTTTCAACCAAAAAAAAAATATTTTTTTTACTTTAAAAAAATGGTTGAACGAGATATCTTTTTGCTTGAAAAAAAAAAATGAGAAAATTTAAATGCTTTCTTCAGCAGACAATTAAAAGGAAACAAAGAAAGAAAAACAAATTATTTTAAACAGTCAAAAACTTAACGTTCCCAACTGCCAACGTAGCCATCTCAGTCTCCGTAAAACGAGGTTTCTACACGTTTTGTTCCATTTATTTACTTCACGTGGCTTGAACGCAGTCTTTCGTATTTTATTTAAGAGTTTAATATTTTTATGTACATGAAAGATGAGGGAAGAGCGAAGTCTGAGAAAAACCTTCAACGCAAAAGGAATGCGTTCTCAACTCTCAACCAATAGATAACACACTTAAACGAAAACGAATCCTTCTTAGTTTAAGAGTATTGTCCCTTGATTTATTGGTGTGGTTAACGAATTTCAAGGGAAACAACTGTACCCTTAAAAGCTTAATAATTTTTTTAACTCTGGTAAAATATAAATTGAAAAACATTCAATTTATTTTGTAGAGATTTAATACAATTTTTATTATCATAATATAATAGAGAAATATTATTTTTAATAAAATAAAATATTTATTGTTATAATAACAAAAATTGTAACTATACAAAAGTATTAAACCATAAAAATCTTATTACAGCATTTTTGGTATTATATAAATAGACGGTTTCCACATACTTGTGTACTGTTCACGCAGTACATATACTAAAATTGGAACGATACAGAGAAGATTAGCATGGCCCCTGCGCAAGGATGACACGCAAATTCGTGAAGCGTTCCATATTTTTTTTTTTTTTTCTGTCATAACAAAACACCGTCTAAACCAGTTTCAAGATCAAATTTATAACAGCAAACCCATTCATTCGTGCTCTAACCCACTGTCTATTTTATATAAATACTCCACAAAATTTCAAATCGAATAAAAATTTGTCAAAGATATATATTTTAAAAAAATATATTATTTTTTAAAAAGTAGATACTAAAACTAATACTAATGACTAAAATTTTTTTATTTACAATTTTAAGGATAATTAAAAATAATAAAACCAATTCATATTATCATAATATTTTTTTTTTGGAAGTTGGTTGACATTGGTAAGATTATTTCAAGTACCGGTATAATAATTTAAAATTGTAATCCCTGTGCTGATGAGAAACTTTGAAAGAGCTTGAAAGGTCGACAATAAGACACACCTACCCCACACGGCAATTCAGATTGCCATTTTTAATGTTAAAGGGATATTTTGTCCATTGCTTTTCACCTGCCTTTTCCAGCTAAGTGTTCATTTTATTTATTTTTTACAAATTTTATTTGTACTGTTTGTTGGGGAAGGCTTCTTGCAGACACTTACGTTGTTTTGTTGCGTCCTTTTTAATTTTTTTCAGGGCTTCACACTTCACTTGTTTGTTTCACTTACTTCCTTTCATCTGAACTATGAAATATTTGAACATATTTATCGACATTGTTTTAAAATTAGGGTACCCTATTAAAAAAAAAAGAAAGGGGGTGAAAAAAAAAAAGAGCAAACAAAAAAAAAAAAAAAAAAAGAAATAAAAAAAAAAAAATTATAAAATAAAAACAATTATAAGTATGGCCGTGCGTTTGACGAACTCTTTGGGTGAGTATATCATTTGCACGTATAGGAAATAGACCCTCGTAACATTTAGCTTGACAGCTCCTCCTTTCAACATCGTATTCGTTTCTTTCATTTTTAATAATATCCATGCTAAGTAGTAAATTAATAGAAGATCCATATCTACTACTGTTTGGTTACTTTTGTCAGTAGCTATTACTCTACCAACTATATTATGTAAGCGTGTACGGCACCATTACCATTTCTGTGAACGTAATTAAAATGTAGGAGTAGATGTAATGGGAAGGCTTGAAAAGGGGGGGGGGGGAAACGAGTGCTACCGTACTTATTTCCATTTACCCCCGAGAGTTGGTGTAATGGCTGGTACGGCAACCCAGCCTACTAATAGGAATAAAAAGGAAAAAAGATGTAATGTTGGGAATGAAAAAAATATGTAATGGGAAGGCTTGAAAAGGGGGGGGGGGGAAACGAGTGCTACCGTACTTATTTCCATTTACCCCCGAGAGTTGGTGTAATGGCTGGTACGGCAACCCAGCCTACTAATAGTAATAAGAAGGAAGAAAGATGTAATGTTGTGAATGAAAAAAATAATCAATTTTTAGCCTTCTGAGGAGGCACTGCTAAAAAATTAATGTTAGATCACTAAAAGTTGTCCACAAGTCACATAAAGCTCTTAGGGCCAGCCGACTAACTTATGGTCTACCAGCCGAGACTATGGTCTACAAACAGTGGAAACTTGAGCTATAAAGACAGGACCAAAAAAGAGAATTTTTTGGCTAAGAACCTTCTTCAGAACAGGACAAATGAAGAAACAAGATATTTTAGAAATAGAAAGTACCGGTAGTTCAAAAACTTGTCCAAAAAAAGTGTTTGGAGTTCGCCATTAACATTATTGCCTGAAGTTGGATTTTCAAAAACCAAGATAACACGAAGTAAAAGAATTTATGAATCTGGCATCCGCCTGTCCGAATGCGATGATGGTGTAGACTTGGCAGGATGAAATCACAAGGCCTGGGATTTTTCTTTAGGGGGATGAGCTGGTCCTCCCAAGCACCCGGATATAACCCAAGGGAACATCACATGCGGATGATACAGCTTTGCCCTGATACCAAATAGTGTCGCAGCAGTTTCCCGAATTTTCATAGTGTCAATGTTATCCACCTTGGGGACTCCATCTGAGCTTGAAATTCTGAGTTTGCCTTCTCTCATATGAGTTGCCATCCAGTCCCATTCCCCTGGGTTGCTGGGGATGTTTGTGTTTGTCTGGCTTTGGAAGGGACTGAATTTCCAGACCACCCGTTTTTTGGATTGACTCCATTTAGACCAATCGGCCACCTAGCACTACATTATGTTCCGGTATCATTACTGTGAAAAAACTATTTTAACAGACAAAAATAATATGGAAATATGTAAAATATATATATAAAAAAAAAGAGAATTACTAGAAATTTGATGATCACTAGTACTAGAGTATTTGATTGTTTCCATATGTTGACATTGTGCCAAATAGCTGAATTAATTTGATTTCCATTCTAACTATCGCTGGTCTGTTGGTTAAGTCAGTGCTTTGAGGCAAACATCTGATGTTCCTTTGTGTTTATCTCCATTGAAAGGAAATGAGTAAAACAAAGCATGGTCAAACCTGAAAAAAGGAATGCAACAAAACAATGAATGTGTCGGCAGGAAGCCTTTGTCAGCGAACAAACAAAAATAATTAATTTATTTGTTTTTTGTTTTGTTGCGTTCTTTTTTTCAGGTATGACCATGCTTTGTTTTACTCATTTCCTTTCAGGTATGACCATGCTTTGTTTTACTCATTTCCTTTCAGGTATGACCATACTTTGTTTTACTCATTTCCTTTCAGGTATGACCATGCTTTGTTTTACTCATTTCCTTTTTTGCTAACATGATTACAGTCTCTCCCTTATTTAAACTTAATACCATATCTCCATTAAAATGGCATTAGACCGGGGAAAGTTTGCCCTGTTCATTTATATCACAAAGATGTTCACTGAACCTATCAATTCAGATAATCTTCTTGAGGTATCGCCTATATGAGCAGTATTTACAGCATGCACTTGCAAAACAAAAAAACCAGCAATAGTTAAACTATACAAAATAATATTAAAAATCTACATTGGTTTAAAAAGCAAGCCCCTGAAAGACCCCCACATGATATCGAAAGCAAAGGATAGGGACCAATTTTCAATAAGATGGTTGTGGCCTTGGTATCTTTAGATCCAGCCAGAGGAAGCTCGTCACCAGGTAGGATAATTCAATTTCAATAAATCCCAAAGTGAAGAATAGAAAGAAAAAAAGTCATTTCCTCCCTTCCTGTGAATATAATTTTAATTAAAAAAAATAATAAAAATAAATAAATAAAACAAATAAATAAAACTACTGTGCAATTAAATAAAACCTCTTCACAAAAATAAATAAATAGAAACAAGACTTTAAAAATCACCATTAACAGAAGTTAAGTATAACACAACATAAGTCAAACAAGGCTATCATCTCATATGTTTTTAGTTGATATTCTAAAATGTTTGCATACACATATATTTAAGATCAGAACAAATATATTAAATTAATCAACATATCAAGCACTTTTCAAAGATTTAAGTCAAGACTAGATGAATGGCAAATACAATTAGTGTTTCAAAAAGCTAGCAGCACTGGGCACCACCAAAATGTTTGGATTATGTAGGTCAGCTAGCATCGACTATGAGAATCCTGAACATTACCTTTAAAGTATTTATACGGTAATATAACACTTAAAAATTTTCTCCCGCCAAAGGTGATAAGAATGTAGTATTATTTTAATTAAATAATACTAGCACATCAAATGTGGTTTAAAAAAACATGCAAAGACTTAATTATAGGTGGAAAGCATTTAAACAGAAAAAAAATACTTCTTTAAAAGGAAGGGCCCCCACCATTTTTAAGTATCAAACCTTTTGTTGACAATGCAGATTCATGAATTACTGAACAGCTCAACACAAGCCTGAGACCATGTCAACAAAACAAAATGACTGTACAGCAATAACAACACAAAAAAGACCCAAAAAAAATCAAGTCTTGGGCTTGTGAATGCACTTATTAAACCATTTTTAAAAAAAAACGATATTAGGAATGTGGAATGATTTAGAGGATATTGGTAAAATTTTTGAAGGAAAGTTTCAATATTTAATGTTTTGAAATGTATGATTTATTTTAAAAATTAGGGGGAAAAAACTGCTGTAAAATAAATGACCACCTGTTAATGAATACTAAAACTACAATTCACTCCATAGAAAAAAGTCACAAGGCAAAAAGTAGATGTTAATAAAGACATAATTTTAGCACTAATTTGACATTATTTACATTTTAAATAACATGAATTTTAGATGTAAAGTTTTATTGTAACAAAAGGAAATGAAGACATCAATGTTCAATAAAATAACTGAAGGCACACACACACTAAGCCAACCTAAAAATATACTGTTCAGTAAAATCTAATAAACTGTTATAAATACCGGTAGTTTAAACAGAAAAAGCCAGTAAAAGAATTATTACTACAGGTCAAACTGGATAACAGAGGCATTTTATCATCAATAATTTAAGAGTGTGGTTCCTGCCTATGACAATAAAATCTCTGCTAAACCTGACCTGTTTAGTTTATGCATGAAAAGATCTAAATATAGAAAGAAATCTACAAACAAAATTCAACTACAAGCCAAACAAAGATATCTTTACTTAGCTTATAAAGACATTAAATTTCACTTTATGGTATATGGGAAAAACATGTTCTCAAAATGTTAATTTACAATTATGTTCTTGTAAAGTATTAAAGTACCTATATTAAAAATTAAAAAAAAAAAAAGCAATCAACTTGCCAACATGATTTTCTATGTAATCACAAATGTATTTTTTTTACTTCAAGAAACACTCATAAATGAAATTCAATACAAGTTTTGCACACAGCCCTAAAAGCCATATTTAAAAATCTGATATTACTTATTGGTTGCATCTGTCATTTTTTAATCTATTGCTAAAATATATTAGTATAATAAGAAACCTTCAGTTTATTGTTGGGAATAGTTTGCAACTGTAAGCTGATAATGGCTTAATTGAGAAATTTCCTGTCTTCATGACAGAGGCTCTGGGTAGTAAATGAATTAAGAAGCTAAGTAAGTTCAGTCAAAGAAATATTCTAATGGCAAGGTTAATAACATTAACAATCAGCAATCTCCAGACCCTGCTGATAAACCATTTGATTGAGCACTAGATGAGAAATTGTCTGTGAAAATAGAAAAAGTAAAGATTAAAAGGTACCAACAAACAGAAATAAAAAAGAGCTGATTATGGTCAGGCTTGACAAGCCAGCAAACTAGAACAAAGATGGTATGATAAACACTACATCAATGCAGACAATTTCAAATAAAGGGGAAATAAAAAGATGTAAATCTATTGCAATGATCTTCAACATATTAATATTAACTAACCAAAAATAGATACAGATATTAAAAAATTGAATTTTAGTTTTCGGGAACAAAAATACTGTAATAAAATTAGAATTAAGCTTACCTGTCTTTATAAAAAATGCATCAGTATAGAATGTCTGACATTGCATGGTTTCAGGACTAAAATTTCCAGACCCACCAAATAAAAATATGTAATCCCCTACAGTCACTGTGCAGTGCTGTCCCCTTGCAGCTGGCTTGTCTCCCTCTATCGCTACTGGAAGCCACTGCTTTTTTGCTGCCAAAAAAAATTTTTTTTTCATTTTATAACATTAAATTTTCTTTTAAAATTGCTACAAAATCACACAACCTAAAATTTAACAATATCAGTGTCAGGAGAATAATATCTAATGGGAGTCGCTTAGTCAATTATTTTGTCACGTGATATGAGTAAAAAACGAGTAAGATTTCCGGTATACTGTATACAACACACTAGTGCTTGACAACAGTAGCCCGATACACACTACAACTACACTACATTTCGTCCAATGAAAATTAACAATAAAATAAACAAAGGGGAATGACTCCTGCATCAATATTGAATAAAAACGCAAATGACGTCATGAGCACGCACGGAGCTCAACAACATCCTGCCGATAATAGTATTGATAGTTCCCATCGAATATCGCTCACAAATTTTTCTTGAAATAACTTTCTTCCTTTAATTATAACTGACGTATATTTATTGTCACATTAATGTATTTCATTTAAAAAACGCTTGCATTCCATAATATTACGAAAGGTAAAATTTTCAATTAACATAACATTGGGGAAGCACTGATGAAGTATCTTTTGTTGTGTGTTGCAGCCTAGTGATGACTTACTCATATCACGTGACCAAACAAGGAAGTGACTAAGCGACTCCCATTAAATTGTATCAAAGCTTAGAGACAGACAGTTACCGGTACAGATTTTCTAATAAGACTAACCTTTAACCAACAATACTTTGAAATAAACTAAAAATGAAATCATAAAAAGAAAAGGAAACTCACCAAAATCAAACACATCAAAACTATCAAAATGTTGATCATTTCTGCCCCTGCCTCCAAACAATACAGCTTTATCCCCTATTGCTGTCATTGAGTGGAAAGACCTTGGGGCTGGGACTTGGCCTGTTACTGTTAAATCTGTAAGCCACTTCCTGGTGTCTGAAGCATACAAATTAATATATTTAATATAGAGACCGACCGAAAGTGATTTTCTGATTTCGGCCGAAGCCGAAAATAGGCCGAAAGTTTAAAATGACTTTCGGCCGAAACCGAAAAAAGGCCGAAAGTTTTAAAAAATGACTTTCGGCCGAAACCGAAAAAAAGCCGAAATTTAAAAATGAATTTCGGCCGAAACCGAAAATGTAATATTAAGTTTTTTTGACTTCGTTCCCGCATACATTCTGCATACATCGAAAATGATGTGGGAAAGTATAAATATTTACATTCTTTTTATAAAAAAATGAGATAATCGTGAATATTAGGTGAGCGGAAAAAGGTCACAGGAAAAAAAGTAACGGAAAAAAGTCACAAATTTTGCTAGGAAAAAAAGTCACAGGAAATAAAGTCACAGGAAATAAAGTCACAGGAAAAAAAGTCACAGAAAATAAAGTCACAGGAAAAAAAGTCACAGGAAAAAAGTCACAGAAGCATTCAGCCATCAGATATCATAAATAAATTCTGACAAGAGTTGTGGGATCCCGTAACCTATTGGGATCCCATATCTTATCGGGATCCCTACCCCACAAGGATCCCGACCCCATTGGGATACCAATTTTGATTGAGATCCCTTTCCCTCAAATAATCCCATTGGGATCCTGACCCCATTGTGATTCCGACCCTAGGGACCCCAGCCCCAATTGGATCCCGATCCCGATTGGGATCACTTTCTCAAAAAGGATGTCATTAGGATCCCAACCCATTGGGATCTCGACCCCATTGTTATCCCGATCCCATTCTGATCCTGAAAGGATCCCGTTTCTAAATGGGATCCTGACCCCATTGGCATCCTTATTCTAAATGGCATCTCATATCCAAATGGGACTCCGACCCCTGTGGGATCCGAACTAATTGAGATCCAAATGGGATCCCATTTCCAAGTAGGATACCACTTTCCAAATTGTACCCTTTTCCAAATGGGATCCCGATCCCACTAGGATCCCGCTTCCCGGAAGGATCCTTTTCTCCGATGGGATCCCGTTTGCCGCAGGATCCCTATTTGATCCCGTCACTAAGTTTGGTCAAGATCCACCTATTTATGCAGGAGTATTTGTGGTTAATTTTATTTATAAAGCTCATATAAGAAAAAAAAAACGATTCCGGGCCCCCGGACTTTTTTTCCTGTGACTTCTTTTCCTACATATCGATATATAGGGGTCTCAAATTCGCGGCCCGCGAGCCATTTGTGACCCTCAAGACGATATTTTGCGGCCCGCTTCATGACAGAAAAGTTTAGTGTAAATGCGCCGGCCCGTTTCCCCCATTCTCATATCTATAACGTGACTCTCCGCGACGGTTTCAGTCGAATCTCACCGACTAGTCTAATTCTGATTTTTTTGGTAGTGTTGCTATGTATTTTTGTATGCAACAGTGAGTAGGTGGATGAAAGTGAATCCTAGTTTTTGAGAACCCTTAATGATTTCATTGTTATTTATAAAAGTTGAGCAGATTTTAACAGTTGTAATCGCTTTTTTGTGGATTACTTGATGCGGCCCAGTCTCATTCAGACACCACCTCCTGCCCCCCCCCCCCCCTCGATGATTTGAGTTTGAGACCTTTGATCTAATGAATACTTTGGATTTTACCATTTTAATTTTAATATAAAAGTAATTTAAATTGCTTTACAACTTTTTAAAATTAGTATGGTAGGAAAAAATTTGGCAAAAATTGAGGGGGGGGGGGAATTGATGCAAAATATTATTTTTTTAAACCGGGTCTCTAAAAATTGTGGTTGTAAAGGATTGCTTAATTTGTTTTTAAAGATCGTTTATTTGGTTGTTATTGGTCGGTTAGTTTGTTCTTAAAGATCGGCGAGTTTGTTCATAAAGATCACTAGATTGTTCTAAAATATCGCTTAGTTTAATCTTAAAGATCGCTTAATTTGTTGTTAAAGATCGTTTAGTTTGTTCTTAAAGATCACTTAGTTTGTTGTTAAAGATCGTCCAGTTTTTGTTAATAGATCGCATTATTTGTTCTTAAATATCGTTTAGTTTGTTCATAAAGATCGCTTAGTTTGTTGTTAAAGATCGCTTAGTTTTTTTCATAAAGATCGCTTAGTTTGTTCTTAAAGATAATTGATTTTGTTCCTTAAGATTGATTAGTTTGTTCTCAAAGATCTTTTAGTTTGTTCCTAAAGAACATTTAGTTTTCTGCTAAAGATCGCTTGGTTTATTCTTATAAATAATTTAGTTTACTATTAAAGATCATTTGTTTTGTTCTTAAAGATCATTTAGTTCGGTCATAAAAATCGTTTAGTTTGTTCTTTAAGATCGTTTAGTTTGTTACTAAAGATTGCTTAGATTGTTCTTAAGGATCGCTATGTTTGTTGTTAAATATCGTTTAGTTTATTCTCAAAGATCGCTTAATTCGTTCTTAAATGTCGTTTAGTTTGTTGTTAAATATCGCTTTCGCTGAATATTAAATGACCGAAAACCTGAGTCACTTTCGGCCGATGGCCGAAAGTCTAAGTCAATTTCGGCCGAAACCGAAGAAAAACCGAAAGTTAACTTTCCTCTTTCGGCCGAAACCGAAATTAAACCGAGAGTCAACTTTTCAGTTTCGGCCGAAAGTGATAAAATGGCCACTTTCGGCGCCGAAACCGAAGCCGAAATTCGGTCGGTCTCTAATTTAATAACATAAGTGTGCCAAATATAATAAAACATAAAAGAAACGCTCAACATATATTGTACCAGTCATAATAAGTGATATATATCTATATATAAAATGGTCAATTTACATTCAGCATGCCGCTTTGAGTCTCTGTGTAGGTTCTCTCCCCTTTGTTTGATCATGGATTGTTACCAGAGGTAATTTTTATTTTTTAAATATAATATTAATATGTAGATGGAATGTTTTTGATTGATGGAATTAAAAATTAAATCAAGTTTGGGGGGTGGGGGAGGAGAGACTTACGTCTGAGTTAAGGATACTGACTTAGCATTCAGGTTATGTAGAGTTGTAGATTTTTTAAATTGATGGTTTTTCTAAAAAAAAATAATTTAATTAAATTTTAAGATTCTTTTTTCCTAATTTTTGTTTCTCTCTGTTACTAACTAAAACAGCATACTCTCTCCCTTCCCTTTTTTTTTTACACAGCACCATCTTGGGTGCCATGACACATCTGCCTTTGAGGCAACCAAGTTGGAGGCCATATGAAATGAGAGGCCCGTCAAACAAAATTTACCAAACACATGGTTCCCACTCATTTTTAAAAACAAAATTCCCTACTTTTTCCCAACTTAAAACAAAAAAAATACTTGACTATCGCAACGCAACATTTTTGTTGACAATATAAAAACAGCCATGAAATTGTCAAAATAAAGCAACATTGAAATACAACACAAATGAACAAAGTTAAGCAATAATGTTTTTAATGCATACATGTAAATATTTATTTAATTACCTATAAATTGCAAGTGTTCAATTCACTTAGACTTGAAAAATTATTGATGTTTACCTTTAAAGTGCAAGAGAAACATTTCTGCTATTTGTTCTTCAGGGCATTTTAGAATATATGTAACTCACACACATACATATCCAACTAATGACATAAAGAATTATTTAGAGCAAATTAAGTACATCCTTACCAACATTGAAAATGTGCAAGTCATTTTGTCGTTCCTCAATATCTCTACCACCAAAGATGATTAGATGCCTATTTATGGCACACATAGAATGAGCAGCTCTTTGAGTTGGCACACCAAGGTTCATCTGCATGGGTTGTGACCAACGACAAGAAACTGCAAATTTAAATAAAACTATACATTCTTTTTAAAGTACATTTTTTCAAAAAAGGAAGAGAAGTGTATCCTAAATTATTTCTTGTTCAATAAAAAGATTTGATTTGTTTAAGTAATACCATCAATATTTATTTATGTCATTGTAACGGACAATGTTTTCACATGAAAACAGAGAGGTAGCATGAGTGAACAAATAATGGTGTTGACCATGTTTTTGTCCACGAGGACAATGAATTGTATTTTGAGATACAAATGTGAGCTCCACGTTTTTGGAGAGTAAAATTATGTTTTTGTCAGAGCGGTTGTTTTGCACGCTTTGCTGGTAATAAAGTATGAGTTGACTGATATAGTAGAGAGCTGAGCGCAGAGCAGTAGAGTCAGTAGCGTGAGAGCTGTGTGATTAGACAGTTGACAGTTTAGTGTGAGGACGTGTCTTTCTTAATGATGGAATACTATAGATATATATGTGAAATTACATTCATGCAAGGATTATTTATTAATATTATCAATATAAAGTGTGTTCAATAAAGTACTGTAAGTTTAACCAGGATTCAGTATTCTTATTTGCGTGCCCGGATTATAAGTGGAAGAATGAAGAAGCCTTAGTCGGCATCCTGAAATATCAACATAACATAAGTAACCATACTACTGACATAACCCACAGCATAAGAAATAAGCTCCCACGCCATGTCAGAGTAGGTGTGTTACAAATGGTGTCAGAAGTGGTGTAACGACGATGTATTACAGAACATTGAGTAACAACGATATATTTTAACAGTCGAGTGAAGCATACATCGAACGTCATTACGCCCGTGTATGAGTCAAATCTGAGAAGAGTCCACGACACACAGAGCAAGCTGACAACGATTGAATTTAGGTCAGTCACGGGAGTCAAAAGTTCAGAGTGCAAACAGCTAACTGGTACACTGTTTCAATTATATAACAGTGGAGTGAATATTCTCGTGGAAGAAACAGCAAGAAATCTATTTTACAGTTATTAGTCAACGAAAGAGATGATCCACACAAAACCAAAAGAAGTCTGATGTCATTACAGATGAGATGTTTTATCAAGACAGCGGAAGTAAGATTTCCCCAGCATAATCTTTACTTTATACAAGCCGCACAGTTCAAGTCAAGTAATTCTTCAAGTAATTCTTCAATTACTCACAAGTGCAACAGAACCGGAGAGAAATTAGACAATTTTCAATTATTGGATTATCACAATTACACTATTACGCAAGGTACTTACATTGGAGTATTGCAGCAATTTGTGGTGTAACTTTTCTCATTGGATTATTTTACCCAAGTACACTACCACATAGGATTATCTACTACCTAGAAGGAGCATCTACTACATAGGATTATCGATTACACAGAAATCAGAGCGTCACAGAGGAGCAGAGGTGACCAACTACGGATTTCTTTTAAACACTTGGTATTTATGTATTTATGTGTTATGTATTATATATAATTTAAGACTTTAAAAATCTACTTATATCATACTTAATTAGATTAAGTAAATTTTTACTTTTTCTGTATAATATAAGTTTAATTTTAGAGTATACTGTAGGGACATCCACGGTGTTATCTTTCCTAGGGAAGTTTTTTTATTAAAACGGTAAAGGTTTCTTCTGGCCCTATTTATAACACTGTAGGATAATTTTGTGTTAGCTGTGAAGTCTAGTTTGTACATTGTCATAACTGTTGTTTTTTAGTAGATCGTGTCATATTTGTGCTATTTGTCTTGTCATTGTTATACATATTGTCAACCTACTGTCATATTTTCTACTATCTTGTGGTCCATAAACTACACAGTACTTTTGTATTTGTTGTCTCATTTGTATTCATGTAAACGTCTACATATCTGTATTTATGTTGTGAAGTAGACAATTTAATTACTTTAAATTTTTCTTACACTTATTTATAACTTATAATTCATGTTTCAACTTGCATTTGTGTATACATTCATTAACATGTAGATATATGAAAGATCGTAAACTATTTTAATTGATAACCAAAGAATAAGGAGATAACTGATATACTGATACATAACAATATAATTTTAGTTACTCACATTACACATAAAAAATGGCAGAGTACTTGGAATTATTAGAAGTAGGTGAGAAGCTTGGTTTGAAGCAGGAGAAATTAACTGACTTCGTAACTCGAGAAATGGACAAAATACGAGACAGACAGAAAGAAGACAAAGACCGACAAGACAAAGACAAAGACCGACAAGACAAAGACAAAGACCGAGAAGCTAGAATGTTAGAGAGAAACGATCTTAAACAAATAGAAGAAATGAAATTAAAAGGACAAAAGGAAATAGAAGAACTTAAATTAAGGGAACAAGATATGAAAATAAGAGAGGAAGAGCTAAAACTAGAAAGAGCTAGGATAGAATCAGGACAGCATACTACATCAACAAGCAATAGGGAAACCAACAGTGCATACAAACCTAAATTTAGAGAATTTAATGAACATAAAGAAGAAATTATTAGTTATCTGTCACAATTTGAAGGCATATGTCAGTCTTACAATTATAGAGAAGAGACTTGGGCTAATATTTTATTGAGCAGATTATCAGGGAAAAGCCTAAGCATTATCAATTCACTTAGTGAAGAACAAAAGAATAATTATACATATATAAAGAAAGTTTTGTTAAAGTTCTATGGAAACACAGAAGACATTTATAGAAAAAATTTCCACAACATAAGACTAGAGAGAGAAGTAGATCCTAACACCACCATATTCAATATTAGAGACAATCTTGTCAAATGGCTTGAATTAACTGAAATTGACCTAAATGATCCAAAAGCATTACTGGATATGTTTATCATAGACAAAATATTAAGAAATGCATCAGTCTCTTTATTTTCATTCCTTAAAGAGAGAAAGATTAAAAATGAGCGTGAGTTAGTTGACTCAATCACAACATTTAAAGATGCTCACCCCAATGAAGAGCTAGACAATAGAAACAGCACACTAGCCTCTATTAGAAACACACCCAGTGATAGGGACAGTCAAAAACAAAACACATATCAAAACAGAAGATACCATAGCCTACCTGCCAGATGGCAAAACAATAAATTTCAGAAAAGTCATCAAAACAATTACCAGACACCATATACTAATTATTCAAACAACAACAAATGTTTCTACTGTGGCATTCCAGGTCACAAAAAATATGAGTGTAGGAAATTACATAGAGATTTAGGACATTCACAACAATACTATCAGAGAACATCACCCAACAGTAGTCCAATTAGATACAACAGTGCAAATAGGAGTAGACAACCATATAAAAATCAAAGATATAATTCCAATCAGACTAACAGTAGACAAAACACCAAACCACATGAAACTTTAGCTAGCGCATGTCACAGTGAAGGAAGTTTACAATTTTTTCCTTCTTATGTAAACAACCAGCTTGTTCAGTGTCTAAGAGACACAGGTTGTACAACAATAGTAGTTGACAAAAAATTGATTGATCCTAAAGACCATATATCTGAAAAAACCACAGTCATGTTAGCAAATAACACAAAAGTTGAATGTTATAAAGCAGTAGTGGACATAGACTGTCCATGGTTGACAGGAAAGGTAACGGCAGTACTTATGGACAACCCAGTATGTCAGTTAATAATTGGAAATATTAAAGAAATTCCAGATAATTCCCAAGAACTATTCTTAAATTGGATTGAATCAAAAAATTTAACCAAAGAGTATATAAGTGCAATAACAAGACAACAACATAAAACTAGTCAGACACAGCCTGAAATAGAAGAAAAATTAGACATTCCAAAACAAATATCTAGAGAGGACATAATTAGAATGCAGACAGAAGATAGGCAAATTCAGGACATTAGAAACAAAATTAAGGACAATAACACAATTTATAGAGGACATAATTACACAATAAAACACAATATTCTAATTAGAAATTTTGAGAAAGGTGAAATCAAAAAATCTCAAATAGTAGTACCAGTAATACTCAGAAACAAAATACTCAACCATGCACATGACAGTCCTTTGGCTGGACACATGGGTATAAAAAAAACATTAGAGAGGGTCACACAGAATTTTTATTGGCCAGGCATACACAAGGACATAAAGAAACACATAAACAAATGCATACCATGTCTGACAAAAAACCCAATACACAGTAAACACAGAGCACCCATACAACCCACAGACAAAATAGGTAGAAACTTTGAGAAGGTAGCTATAGATATCATTGGTCCTCTTAATCCACCATCAAATAAGGGACACAAATTTATTTTAACCATGATTGATATGGCATCTAGATGGCCAGAGGCAATTCCCCTCAAAAACATTAATTCAGAAACAATTTGCATGGCATTATTAGATGTATTTACAAGACATGGGTTCCCTGATAAAATATTGTCAGATAATGGAACACAGTTTACTTCCAACTTAACCAATGCAGTTACAAAAATGCTAGGTATAATACAAGTACATTCCACAATATATAGACCACAGGCTAATGGTATGGTAGAACGATGGAACAAAACACTAAAAACAATGTTAAATAAAACAACAATAGACCACCCTAGAGAATGGCACCTATATATACCCATGGTTTTATTCGCCTATAGAGAGAGTATACAAGACACCACTGGGTACTCTCCATTTGAGCTAATGTTTGGGGCCAATCCAAAGGGACCGTTAACTCTTTTTAAAGAAAATATTTTAGGCCAGAAAGGCACACAACAAGACACATTTGACATAATTACAAAAATTAGAGAGAGGATTACATATGGCATAGAAAATGCTAAAGAAAACACTGATAGGGAGTCTAAAAGACAAAGACATATAAAGAATACACATAGATACCTCAGAGATCTTAAAGTACATGATAAAGTTTTGGTATGGTTGCCAAACAATAATGGACAAAAGATTTGGCAGGGTCCGTTTACAATTCATGACAAGTTAAATTTAGTTGATTATGTAATTCACATGAAGGGTGAATTGAAAGTCCTACATGTGGACTTGCTCAGAAAATATGACTCTGTTCCTGAAGAGTTAGAAACCATCAGTAATGAAATAAGTAGCACAGCCACCGTTGCTAGTGTTATACAATTAGAAGACAATGAAAATAACACCACAACAAACAGACACTTAACAACAATTCTAAAAGAATACAAAGATGTCATCACAGAGAACATAGGACACACTAGCAGTTTAGAACACAAGATAATATTAACACAGGAACCCACATTCAAACACAAAATCTATCCAATTCCATATGCATTTAGGGAAGAAGTAAAGAAAGAACTAAATCATTTAATACAGACTAACAAGATTAAAAGATCAGATTCACCAATAGCATCACCCATGGTAGTAGTAAAAAAGAAAAATGGCCAGTGCCGTATATGTTGTGACTATAGGGAGTTAAATAAAATCACACAATTAGATGCAGAACCCATGAGGGACACCAGAGAACTACTGGAAGAAATAGGCTCCTCCACATTATTCACCCACTTAGATTTAAACAGAGGATTCTGGCAAATAGGCATGCATCCGGATTCCATGCCTTTGACTGCATTTGCCACAGAGGAAGGCTTGTTCGAATGGACAGTAATGCCATTTGGTCTAGTTAATTCCACCGCAACATTTTCTCGATTCATGCGAATCATGTTAGAAGGCATACCAAATGTAGTACATTTTGTCGATGATATCTGCATTCACACTAAGGATATGAAGACACATATAGAGACTATAAAAACAGTACTAAACAAATTAAGAGCACATGGAGTTACAATAGCACCAAACAAATTAAAGTTTGCACAAGAGGACATTGAATTTTTAGGATTTAAAGTCGGTAAGAACACAATTCAGCCCACAGAACACAACAGAGGAAAAATACTAAATATAAAAACACCACACACTCAGAAAGAAGTAAAAGCCATTTTAGGTTTGTGCAATTTTTACAGCACTTTTGTTCCAAAATTTTCTGATGTTACACTACCCTTAAGGAAACTAATAAATAAAGATAGCAAGAAACAAATAGTATGGACGGATGAATGCGAAAATACACTGAGAACAATCAAAGAAATTTTCCAAAGTGACAACATATTGTTATCACCCAATTTTAAACAGTCTTTCACTCTAGTTACAGACGCCTCCAACATTGGATTAGGAGCTTGCCTTATGCAAGAATACAATCATAAATTAAGACCAATTACCTATTTAAGTAGAGCACTAAGCAGAACTGAAATTAACTACTCAACTATTGAAAAAGAATGCTTAGCAATTGTGTGGGCACTTACCAAACTACAGAAATATCTATTAGGCAGAAAATTTACATTATTGACTGATCACAAGCCATTAATGGCACTAAATAGAAAGAAAATAGCGAATAGTAAAATAAACAGATGGTCGTTGATACTATTAGATTATCAGTATGAGATAAGGACAATAAAAGGAAAAGACAATACAGTAGCTGATTTCCTTTCCAGACACATTGAACATGCAGACAATGACAAAGACACTGACTTAAGACACATTAGTCAGACATTCTAAATGAATATACACACATACGTTCACTCAGTTTTTTGATAAGACACTTGTACATATCAATTTTTGTAAATGAATATCAGATTTTAACCAATTGTAAATTTTCTAATGCAAAATTTAAGATTGTTACATTCATTTTGCAGTGTTTATTATTCATTAAGATGTTAATGTCACTTCACATTATCATACATAAAGATTTTAAGAGGTTGTCATTGGTGATTTTTTAATTTTTTGCCAGGGTAAATTATTCACTATTAAGTGTGATATTAACAGTAAAAGACTCTGTATTTCATAATGATGAAATGTTAATGTTGTTACACTGATTTGATTGTTAGATGTGGGATTGAAAATTTCTAAGAGACATTATCATTATTTCAGCATATTATTTTGTGCCAAAAATTTTGTTGCACAAAATTTTTTCAGATGGGTGGGGCATGTAACGGACTATGTTTTCACATGTAAACAGAGAGGTAGCATGAGTGGACAGTGAGTGTGTTCACCAGGTTTTTCCACGGGGAGAGACAATCAATGTGGATTGTATTTTTGAGAACAAATGTGAACTCCACGTTTTTGGAGAGTAAAATTATGTTTTTGTCAGAGCGGTTGTTTTGCACGCTTTGCTGGTAATAAAGTATGAGTTGACTGAGATAGTAGAGAGCTGAGCGCAGAGCAGTAGAGTCAGTAGCGTGAGAGCTGTGTGATTAGACAGTTGACAGTTTAGTGTGAGGACGTGTCTTTCTTAATGATGGAATACTATAGATATATATGTGAAATTACATTCATGCAAGGATTATTTATTAATATTATCAATATAAAGTGTGTTCAATAAAGTACTGTAAGTTTAACCAGGATTCAGTATTCTTATTTGCGTGCCCGGATTATAAGTGGAAGAATGAAGAAGCCTTAGTCGGCATCCTGAAATATCAACATAACATAAGTAACCATACTACTGACATAACCCACAGCATAAGAAATAAGCTCCCACGCCATGTCAGAGTAGGTGTGTTACAGTCATAAATTATGTTTCTGGGTAATCTGTTTAACAATTAAGACATGCCCTTACCATATCAAGCTGGATAATTGCCAATTTAAAAAAAAAAAAAAACACTGCATCTTCTCTTGTATTGGGCATCCATATCATGACATTTTAGTTATGTTTAAAAAAAATTTGATTGTGTCTAACAATAATATACTAACCAGTGTCTAAGACATAGAGATCATTAAACCAGCCAAACTCAGCTCCATCTTGATCGTGTGCCTCAGGGATATCATCATCATCTTCGTCATCATCATTGCCTTCCAGCTAGAAGACGTGATATTGAATAGAAAATATACACATGCCAAATAAAAGTAAAACTAATATAAAAATGGATATCAACAACTCCCCAACTTACATCAGCCGCTTCAGCTTCATCAGATTTTGGTCCAAATCCACCAAAGTAATAAATATTTGTATCAATTGCCACAGCTTGCAACTTGTCTCTAGCTCTAGGTTTAATTCCGTCTGCATCCAAAATTGACCATGAGTTTGTAACTGTAATAAAAAGTGATAAATATATTTCAAGTGAAAATTAACACAGGATGTTGGCTAAATTTTTATAAAAGTGGCAAATTAATATCTTCTATGTAAAGAGAAATTTTGTTTTTATGTGGGCACAAAATTTGTTATGGGGCAAAGCGTTAATTCACTCATTTAAGATAAATTTAATGTATTTCTCAGCAGCGAAAGCTTATATGTGGTCATTACCTTGTAGAATTTAATTAAAATTGTATAATTTACTCAATCCATTTAAAAAAAAAAAAATTAACCCTTTCAGATTTTTATTCTGGTAAATGCAGCTTAACTGGTGAGAATATAGAATTATTTGCATATATATTTGACTTTTAGGCCCATGCCAAGTCGGTTTCTGCATTGCCACTTTGTTGGTGTAGTTGGATATTAAATTATTTTTTAAAAAGATCAAACTTAAGGTTTCCCCACTCCCCTAAGAACAACTGCCTCATTTGGCTAAAAAATCCATTCCACCTGACCATCTGCCCAATGTTGAGGGGCTCAGATATAAATAGAGCCTGTCACCTCATTAACAATTTAATCAGTTTAAGTTAAAGTAATGAAATTAAAATGAAGCCTAAGTTTATTAAGTTTCTGTAAAAAGAAGTGATTTGCAATAACTTTGACAGTGACATAAAAATTATGTAAGCTGATATATAAATGTTCAGTTTATGAAAAATCTTTTGAGCAAACAAATCTTTGTTAGTAACAATAAATCAGCTTACGTGTATCAAAGACAAATATGTCATCAAACCACCCAGACATGTGGCTCAAACCTCCAAACAAGTATATATTAGTGCCAACTGCTACTAGTGATGATGCAGATCGAGGCGGTGGTATTGTGCCTGTAACCTGTGGTTGGGACCACTTAGAGGAAACTGGGAAAAAAAAAGTAATCTAAATGTTCATTGGAGAATTTAATTTAATGAAGAATTTATTCTATTAATTTAAAATACCAAAAAAGTTTTAAAAATAATTTAACACGTGTCCGAATTTTTTGAAAATTTGTTGATATAAATATAAAAAAATATTTTAATATCTGTTCTTACCTATGTCAAATGTGATTAATTCATTTGTTTCTTTTGGCTCTTCCCCTTGGCCTTGTTCCACGCCTCCAAAGATGTAAACCTTATTTGCAACGCTACAGGCAACTTGCCCTTCACGCCCTGAATAAGGAAAACTCGAAATTGATGAAGGGTCATTAACTACTTTTTTTACAAGTATAGTTATTTTTTTCTCTTGATTCTCATCTGCTCCATTCAACATTTTCTCGACCGAACACATAAGAAAATGGGATAACCCTGAATAAGACCTGTAAAAATAGATTTGAAAAAAAAACAACAATACAAAGTTAATTCGAAGTAATCATCACTTGAAGTATTTTCATTGATTTAATTTAAAATTATTAAAATTTGTATGTCAAATATATCAGTCCGAGATCATTTGACTGGTAAAGCAAAATTACTGTTTCCCTAATGAAAATTATGAAACTTTTTTAAAAGGGCATAATGATAATGCAATTTTTAAAAAAAGTACACCTAATTAATAAAAATGGGGCGGTCAATAGTTTTTTTTTTTTATGCTTCAAGATGAAAGGCACTTACATTTGAGCAGCACTTATTATATACACTATACTCCCCTACAAAAAAATCCACTGTCCAGTTTCACTCATGACAGTTTGCAAACCCCTTAACTACATTATTTGTCTTTGACTTCTATTTTAAATATAATAATTTGTATGCACCATTGCAGGGGTAAGCAAACTTTGCTTGTTGAGGTCAAATGGTAAATATTTTATGACTTGCAAGCTAAGACTAAGAGGTCAGCTTATTTGGTGGTAATGAGGGGCAAATGGGGGAACTGCTTCTTTTATTTTTATCCTTAACATTACAGTTTATTGTAGTTAGCATTTTATTTACTAAAATAATGCACTAGTGGAAGCCCTACTGAACCTGCTGGCCTGAATTTACTTAATTATAATTAAAATTTATTAAATATTAAATAATTGTGTATCATAAAAGATGAATTTTTAAAATAATGATAATTTTCGGATGCTTGTCCTGATAGACTTAGACCAGCGGTTCTCAACCTTTAGGGGTCGCGCGACTCTTTTCCAATGGTCACCTAAGCCTAAGACCATCTGAAAACACATATCCTTGCAGCTATGAAGTAGCAACGAAAATAATTGTGTGTGGCTGTGGGTCGCCATGACACGAACAAGTGTATTAAAGGGTCGCGGCACCAGGAAGGTTGAGAACCACTGACTTAGACTAATATGATATTAAGATTGTTGGGACAAGTAGCGGCAAATTATGTCACACACTGGTCAGGTAAATCAGGTTCACCACCTCTGCCTCTTTGCTGTCGAATTTTCAGTTCAAACTGAAACTACTATGACTATGTCTATCTAAAACTATAGTTATATTATAATTCTATAAATTATGAGTTTTAGTTACTAAGTCTTACTAAGAGTACTAAGACTAATACTAATACATAGGAGCCATAATGATCAATTCATTGATCGTGGGCCCTCAAAATAAAGAAGAATACTTTTTTGCACATGACATACTGCTACCTACTGGAACAAGGCCAAGGACTAGATAATGAATGGGGTGTACACGTAAAACTAAGACAACACACCCAGTAGGGCGAATCAAAGCATTGAATTATTTGATGTCTGTTAGAAGAGGGAAGCCTACACATTAAGTACAAATTAAGAGTAAGAGGTACCGTACCTTAGAAAAGGTGTGTGAGTGAGTTCAGTGTCAGTGTGTGTAAACTTAGAGTAAAGTGTAAAGTTAAAAGTGAGTAAGCCAATCCCAGCCAGAGGTGAGTAGTAATATAGCCCTGGCGTGCCCTTAACTTACGTTTACATTACTATATATGGGCCTATCTGTAAGCCTTGATACATAAAATACAAGAATACTAATTATATTACAATTACATGAAATACTCGAGTCGAGTAGTGGAAGTGCAGCAGTGCGAGTGTTGAGTCTGGAGAGAGTGGAGCGAATGTAAATTTTCAGTAAAGTTGTATGCCTAAATAAGTCTAAAAAATATGTTGCAGGCTATATTGAAATTAAAAGTGTTCAACAATATTTACTCTATTAGTATTAGTCCTTTTCTTTGCCTTATGGTCAGCTCAATGACTGTATCGGTAGTGTTCTCTGAGATTACTAGTACTCAAAGGAATGAAAGAAAGCTACGAACTTTCCCGCGAAAGAAACAGATAAGTGTTGATCAAAATTTCCTCTCTGGCATGCAGTTACAAGGTACAAGTCGGATATAATTTTATAAAAATATTATCTTAAACAAAAAATAATGTGTGTTTATATATTACAAATATATATAATTTCCCCTATTCATAATTTCTTATTTTCACTTTTAGTAAGCACGTTATATTATTAAGCTTATTTGCGATTCATAAAAAAAAAGTTTTGAGGTAAATGCCAATTGGCATATATGAATTCCTTCTGGTGGGGATAAAATTTCAACTGCTTTGACTACTTACATGCCTTCATATTTCATTTTATATTTAGGCTCGCCACCCCACCCCAAGTTTTCAGAGGGGTTGGGGCGGGATGGGGAGAGAGAGTGAGAGAGAGGGGGGGTGGGGAGATCGTGATTTTAATTATTATAGTTGCATATGTACTTTTCGCTCTCTATACACAAACATAACACTCCTTTATAAAAAAAGGTTATTTAGACATAGCCCCGTCACCGCCAAGCTTAAACACATGTTTCAATTTAGTTTGTATAAACAATTATGACGTCCACGGAAATTAAAAGTCACCTTAAACCAAGTTAAAAAAATTATGTCACTGATTTCCTTCCCTTTTACAAACCACTGTCCGAATGGCGTAGCGGTAGGCTTGGTTCCAATGACAAAATAATTACGTCACAAATTACGTCACACGCGCGGAAGCAAATGCAAACTTTGTCATTGGGTTAAATAATAGGCTTACTGTTGCGAAATCTAGCATGTTCGCGTGTGAAAACACAAATCACAAATATGACGATAATTACTACTAAATTTGCAGCGATATTTTTATCACTTTCGAAAATAATTAGAAATCATCGGTTTCAAATATTTTAAAAAAAATATGGCATAATAACAAATGATTGATTCCATATATATTTGTTTAAACAATTATTCATGCTAGACCCCAATTTATATGTCAACCTATATTGTTCTCTCGAGTTTGTTGTTTAAATAAATTATGAGTGCATTTTCCCCTGAGAAATAATTTATGAATGACAGACAACAATTTAATAATATTGATGTCTCGACTTCGAAAAAACTGGTCAACACATTAATTTGATAAAACTAAAAGTCGAAAGCGTGAAAAATACCATAGACATAGAGATATATTTATAGCTCTGTGAAAAATACTGAGAATTGACTAAATACGACCCAAATAGTTGAGTAAATGCTATGTTTAATTTCTAATCAATGGCGGAGGAAGAAGGGGGCGGGCCTAGTCGGCACTTTTTTATTCTTACCTTGAGGGGTGCATTTTTAGCCAACTGCATAATTTTTTTTTGTTGAGTGGGGCTGAAAATATCTTGGCCCGCCTGAAAGGTGTTGTTTTTTTCTTTTATGAAACATACTTATTATCTTATACTTATACGTATAGCTAAATGCTGTGATCTGAGTCTGAAAATGTCTAAATTGTCTGTTTATGGTGTAATTACAGTTTCTTTTAGCAGTTTCAGTCTAATAATTTATAGGCTACTTAAAAACGCATTATTTGTTATTTATTAACGAAGTTGATATTCAATATTTTTTTTTCATGATATTGTGTTTGTCGTATGTCGTATATAATTGCATGTGGTGCTTTTTAGCTACACCACCCAAACAATAAATATAACCAATGTAAACAAGTGAGTCAAGCGTTAAGTGTAGCAGTAGCATGATATTGATATATGCTTGTCAAATTTTGAAAACAAGGTCAGTACACCTAAATACATCCAGCCGAGCAAGTGCCTTGACTTGAACGTGAAGGGATATTCCCAAGCAAGCTGTCTTAGCTATTTACTGAGAGAAACGAAAATAGGAACAAAACGTTATAGTTATAAAATTTAATGAAATAATTTCAGTAGTTGCATAACATTATTAATTAGCCTATAATTTATAATTCATTAATTTTGTTGCAAACATAGCAACTTTATTTATTATTGTATTCTTCTAGATATGCAGCAGGAAGTATCAATGTTTTGCGGTCGCTCCCTTTCATGGCGCTATTTCAGCCAGTACCTTAATTTCATGGTAAGGTGAATATACTATACCAACCTTATTATTATAATTATAGGACATTAGTCATTAGTAGATATGCAAGAGGGTAATAATAAGGGGAGAGACTGCAATCAGGTTAGCACAATAGGAAATTAGTAAAACAAAGTAAGGTTAAACCTGAAACTGAAAAAAGGAACGCAACAAAATAACGAACATGTCTGCAGTAAGCCTTTGTCAGTGAACAAACAGAATAAACAGAATTTTAAAAAATACTACTAAGCTGAGAAGTAGTATCCGAGAGGGCAGAAAATGAATTGTGACAGAAAGTAAGTGGATGAGAGATTGAATAGGGAAGAGGGAAAGAAAAGAGGAGAAGTAAGTCCACTGCGATAGGACGTGGAGGGGCGGAGCTAGGTTCAAGCTGTGAATAGAGACTTGACGTTCATACCATGTGGTATCAATAATAATAATAATAATAAAGTTCATTTCAAAAACACGCTTCATCCCCAAAGGCTCGAAGCGCCATAGGTCAGGTTAAGCTTGTTGTTATAGAGAGCTTGTTTACATCATATTTCTCGTGCGTGCCCTCTGATTGACCCCGCATGAGACGCTGTGTTCACAAAGGGGTGTGGCTTAGGCCTTTGAAGTAACTTGTTTACGCCGCCAACGAATAAAAATAATTAATCTGTTCCAAATAGTATTTGGTAGAATGATTGGGATTTTTCTCGAAATGTCTCGAAGGCAGGGCTTGGGCGTCGGTAGACCCACCTATATAAGGGATTGACAGGCACGGACGAAAGGAGATTTTCATATAGATTCTCTTAACATTACGAGGCGTGTTTTATTCTTTGTGTATTTGTGTGCTCCTACTTATATGTGTTTATTTCGCATTATTTATTGGCATCATTATTTCTAATTGTATTAACTGTGTACCGGTACGAGATCTACCATACTGTAAGTTGAAGATTGTAATTTTATTTTATTTTATTTTGTAATTATCTTTAGACATAATAAATCTTATTAATTGTAACTAGAAACTGTTTTGGGTCGTATCTTTAATATTGTTGATTCTGTGGTATCGTCCTTTGTTAGGCACTGATTACAACGAGCCAATTAAAATTAAAATAGGAGATTAATTTCTCCCAACACAAGTCAGTGCGTAACATTGTGTTCTGAATCTACCCGGCTGGGTGTATTTATGCTAGCCACGATCCCAGATATTGAAAAGTCATACAAAATACAAAGGGAGAAACAAAAATTGAGTTGAAAAATTAAAGTTACTAAATCCATTTTTTATTAATGCTCCAGAGCATACATAAACATAAATGTCTTTGAAACTATTTAGGGTACGTCTTTGGGATCCAGTCTTTGTCTTTTCTGTTCAATGTCCACCCTTTACCAAACAAATTAGTCTGTAACAATATGGCTAAGCTTAATGCTAAAATTGACAATATCTGATTCTTATGTCCGCTAGGGCTAATACTGTCATTACTAGAACATGGAATAGCTTTGAAAATATAATTTCATTTTAATCCATTTGAAATAATTCCAATAAAGCAAGTCTTTGTTGATTTTGCAATCTCCAGCATCAGACATAATGGCAGTCACAAAGATTGAGCAAATTTCATTCCCAATTAATCACAAAACAAGCCATGATAAAAGCATGTTTATACATGGATAGAAATGAAAATAGAAAGCGAACTAATTTTTATGGAGTGATTTCCCTTCAACCAAAGTACATTAAATCATTAACATTTTTAATAATAAAAAATAATATCAGCCACAGAAAGGGTACTTAAGACAGATATAGAGTTAAGAGCTGTTTAGCTATTTTATCTACTTTGGCTCTGCAAATAATTTCATTCTTTTTAGGCAACTGATAGAGTTGTATGCTATTATCACACTGTTCTTACCTTTTACCATTTAACTTTGAAGAATTTATGCTAACTTTTCTACAAGTGCACTCTTTCACAGTTATTTTTTTGTTTCATTTCAGGAGAGAGCTGAAAGTTTAATTACAGTTGGAAAAAGGCAAAATTTTTAGCAAAGTAAATTTAGATGATTTTTCCAATGGATTTCAATAACTTAAATTCAGCCTTACCAATGCGATACCCATATCACATGCCTTTCCATCTACCAAATCAAATTGGATTAAATGCAGCATCCATGCAACAAAATACTGATACTCAATTAACAAGTTTAATGGTTTCTGGACATGTCAACCATTGCCATACCATAAATCACCCTGTCACATCTGTAGCAGTAGAGCTGGGAACAAGTTTAGAGTCTTCTGGGAATTTGAATATTTCTTTCAACCACATCACCAAAACAGCTTCTAATATTAAATTTTTGCCACTAACTTGTGATTCAGTTAATTTCTCATCATCCAGCTCACTTGAACAACCTCACCCATCTATTCCTAATGTGCATGCTAACATGACAGGAAATATTGAACCAAAGGAAAATGAAGATAAATCTGTCCATGTGAGCAGAGGGTGGCTGGACAAGGAGCAAACTTGTAACATGAATGCAACCATTGCTTTCAAATCTCTAGGCTGTCAAGAATCAAAAGGAAAGAGTATGAAAAGGGTTCGCTACATCAAAAATGGCTGTTCCAATACCTGCCAGAAACGATGTAAACAAAAAATCTCCCAAGTTACAAGAGAAGAGCTCTTTAGTGGCTATTGGAACCTGGAGGATGAGAGCAGGAGGAAAGAATTTATTGCTGGACATGCCAATAAATTGCCAATAATGACATGCAGGGAAGGGTCAAGAAGGAGGTTCTCAGTGGATTGGGCCTTCACAGTAAAGGGAGATTCTTTTTCAGTCTGCAAATTATTTTTCCTCGATACACTTGACATTTCTGAAGAAACTGCATACTTGGCAATAAAGCATAGTAATTTTGCTCCAGATAGTGTCAGCATTCTTAACAATAAGGGCATGGTAAAGAAGAAACCACAGTGGGTCGAAACAGATTTAGATGGCTATACCAAGAAGATCAAAACACATGCTAGTCATGGGTTAAAGAAGAATAAAATATTTGAATTGAAGCCAGGATGTAAAGATGCTTGCAGAAGAAGCTGCCAGTCAAAATTTACAAAAGATGATCGATTATCACTTTTCAATTTTTATCACAACCTTAGCAATATTAGGAAACAACAGAATTTTATTTTGGAACATGTGAGGCGACTGGAACGTAAATATGTTAAGTCTGATAAAGTAACACGGCGAGGTTGCTCGGTTGAATGGCTTCTACCTCTAAGAGGACTGCAAATACCTGTTTGTAAGACTTTCTTTTTGCATACAATAGGTGTAAGTGAACATGCAGCATATAGGATTGGCTTGCAAAATGATATAAGACCTGTCGAAAGAAAACAGACACCCATGAAAAAACATCCTTATTCTTGGGGGTTTCTTAAAAGCAAGTATATTAAAACTCTTCTTGCCAAAGGCAGATTAAAGTCTTTGCCTCAGTTTAGCAGTAAAAAGTTTGCTGGAAGTGGAATAAATAACAAAAATTTCATGTTCATGAAAAATACAGAGACCATTGAAGTAAAATTATCAGAGGAGCCATTATGTGTTGATAAAGCAAAGAAACCTCCTGTTACATCACTCAAAGCTACTTTTTCTGCTACACCACTCTACAAGGCCAATGAAAGCATGTCCCATATTCAGGGTCATGCTGTGCCACACATAAATAACTCAATACCGCTGTCATCTTTCAGCCTATTTGCAGGTGATTCTGAACTTGGTACCAGTTTTAGTCATCCTCAGTCAGATACCTCACAGGCAAGCAACAATTTAACTTTCTCCCATCACCAACAGCCTGGTCGTGGCTATGACCTAACACTAACAAACAAAGCCAAGGCAACCCCAGGTGTGTCCTTTCAAAATAAAATGAAAAATGACACACAAATGTTTTCCCTGAACAGTAGACAGAAGAATGATGAAAAATTGGGTCAAAATCAGAAAGTCATTAATGAGGTTTCTTGGAAAGTGACTCAGAAGAAAAAAACTTTAACAAAGCAATTAAGAAAAGGTTGCTCAGAAACATGCAGGAGAAAATGTAATCAAGTTGTTTCCCAAGCCATTAGGGAAGAGCTTTTCAGTGAGTTTTGGCAACTTGAGAATGATACGTGTCGTAGAGAATATATACTGACAATTGTAAATAAAGTCCCCAAGAAGAGCAATAGAACTACAGAGAGCAGAAGGGGCTGCACCATAGAATGGAGTGTGCCACTAAATGGAGCACTTGTTATTGTTTGCAAGAAATTCTTTCTAGACACTTTTGATATAAGTGAAAATTTTGTGAAGACTGTACACGATAAAATTGAACGAAATGCTGATTCAATGGCTGACATGAGAGGAAAACATGGAAAACGCTCAGTGGTTTTTGCAAAAGAAGAGAAGGAGATGGAAAAGTTTATTAAGTCGTTGGCCATTTATAAAGCTGTTCGATGTGTCAGGTGCAATACTGATTTTCCTCGTTGGTGTCTTGAAAGTTCCTTGTCTTTAAATCAGCTGTATAAGGAGTATGCAAATGATAGAAAACAACAGGGTGTGAAGCCGGCTTGTAAAACATCCTTCAAAAATCTGTGTGCCAAGAAATTTAACTTAAAATACAACTCTGGTGTGGAAAATATTTGTGAATTATGTTCGCTTGCATCAACAGCTGTTAATGAATAGCAAATATTGTGAATGAGGTGCGACCAAACCTGATAACATTTCAGAGGTGGCGCCAAAAAAAAAAGCATTTAAGTCTTTAAAGACTTCCTTTCTAGTTGCAAATCCATGCGGTTTGTCAGGTTGTATCATAATTTTGTGTGGTCAAACGTGGCCCGCATCTACACTTCTGTAAAGAATTTCTCAGTGTTTCTCATTTTAAGAAATTTTAAAATATATTTTCTACTTTTTAGTGCGTTTAAAATAGTCTTTGATAAAAAATATTTTTAAAAAACTTTTTTTTAAACATAATCTGTGTATTATCGATAAAAGAAGTATTATTTAATTATTTCAGATATTGTTGTAAAAATCTGTTTTTGGAAGTGAGGATCCTATAACAGAAATTAAAATCTCCCAAATGTCATACATAAATTCTACACTACACTGGCGTTAATACTAACACAGACTCTTGACGAATTTAAGGAAAGTACAAGAACTAACTTGTGAACTAACTTGCTTACTGTGTCAACACAAAATTATTCTCTCACATTGTTAAATGAATTTTATATTCCACCATTATCTTCCGATCATTCAGAACACATGACACACGACAACGACACAACACACCAATCATAAGATTACATGCACAAACAAAAACAACTGGCATTGGACGAGAGGTTCAAGTGGGGACAACAAAAATTACCCTTGATTGTATATAAATTTGACAGACTTGTTAGTGGGGTGAAAATATTTAATACCGGTATTAATAATTATTAAAAAACAGAACATTTGCTGATGGTTCAGTTATGTTTAGTATATTAAGAATCAATTAAAATGCAGGAGGTAATTTTAATAGACGCTCTATCCCTACCAGGGCTTCAGTGTTGTGTGGTGTTTTACCCATTAATAAAAAAGTATCTAAATTTTCAATTTGCATTCCTTCCAACTATTTAAATCTACTTAATAACATGACAGATGCTTAGGCTTTAGTGAACATTTTTAAGAGATATGGACTCCTAAAGTAAGGCAATGTTCCACATTGTATGTGAAGTTACTGCATAGCATAAGACAATCGAGAGCTGTGCAGTACTAAAGCTTCCAAGTGCTGGAAAAGTACTTAAGCTATTAGTAGAATCCAATGATTACCTACACCAGCATCAAACTCTATTTGTACAGAAGGCAAATCATAAAGATACAAAGGTACTCTTCTGAAACAACCACCCCACCTGAATTCTATAATGGTTCCTATAGCACCATTAACAAGTCCTTTCAAAAGATAAATCTTCAAATGAAGCATTACTTTATCACTAATGTAAGGTATCAATTTCTTTTTTTTTGAGTTCACCTGTTTTATTTGTGGCTTTAGGGACCATTTTCTTAATTTCATCCGATGTAATGTTCTTTCCCGAATCCTCAAAAGGATCCTGTGCTTGAAGCGCAAAAATTGTAACAGCCTTTTGTTTGAAATGTTCTATAACTTTGATATTGAGTTTAACCATCAATGCATATGTAGGATAACTTCAAACAACTTTTTCATTGAAGAATTTTCCAGTGAAATCATTGCTTACACACTCCATTAACACACTCGAATGACTGGTTTTCATTTCACCTATTCTTAGTACTTGAGAATGTTGATAAGTGTGGTATCTCCTTGCTGTCTCATATTTTTGACAAAGTCCCAGAGGGCGAAGCATCGTCAGAGATGAATTGTGGGCTCATTGTTATGAGGCTGCTGAAACACTGGATGTCATTTGACTGGTGGTATTTGGAAAAGATCTCCAAACACAGCCATATTGACACCTCTAAAGAGCTCATTGACTTTGTTTTTTAGCTGTTTTTTAATAATTGTGCTTCAGTCATGCATAGCATCTCCTAGGAAATCATTGAGATTTTATTCATCTAATTCACCTGTACATCTCTCCACTGATGTCACTTGAACTTCAAGAAATTTCTAGGTAGAGGTAGAAGCGTACCAATCTTGCCATCGTGTTGAAATAGAAGTTTAAATTAGCCATGAAGTGTAAATCCATTATCTAGCAGCAACACCAGTTATTGTGCAATTTTAACATTTTTATTATTGCCAATACATCAAATAATTTGATTTGTGCAAACATTTAATGTGAATGTTTTTCCTGTTCTAGCACTCCCTGCTCAATGAATATTCTCAATCTATGAAGAGAACCACCTTGTTGCGCCTGAATGTTTTGCATGATATGATTCAACAGTCTTCTTTGTTCAATATTTATTGCTTGCAAAGCATTTTGGAAATCAGAATCATTCATTGGCTGTTCATTAGAGAAATCTTCGCCCTTCAACATTTTCTAATGCAATGTCATTTTCCTAAAGAAGTTTAAAGAGCTGTTTCAACAATCCAATGAAAAGCTATGTCACAGCATTGTCTTCAAGCTTGTTCTTGATTCAACATGTCACTTCCTTGATGATGCTTAGCTGGGACAGCACTTATGCTAACATCACCATAAGTTGAGCACTGCGTCAAATCACCTTCTTCATTCATTTCATTTTCTTCCTCTTTACTTTCTTCGATTGCGTGCTGAGGTAATGCTACCCTGAAAATAGAATTTACATTCATTGTGACATCATCATCAACTTCAACGTTGATGTAGAGAAAGTTTTTTTCAAGTAGCCACCCCCAGAGCCTTGTATACTCTTTTACTTTCAATAATGTATACCTTAGTTAAGATATTTTCAATCTCTTTAGTGACGATGATGATGTTTGAGTTAAGAGTTGATCGAGGAAGAATTGGAAGTTTTTCAGTGCCGATAACTTCAAAGCTATCCTCCCAAACAGAACAGCTTACAACAAAGTTCACCCACCTCTTCACTTCTCAAAAATCACTTCTTGTGACATCATTGTCTTTATACAGAAAAAAAATCTTGCCTCACTTCCTTAATAACTCAAAATCAATGTTTTATTATTCTGATCACGCAGTAAAGTGAAAAAGTATTAAAACTATTTTACTTACTATGCGTTATCTCATTGGTCCCTCACAGTTGATACTAACTATCCTATCTATTCTACTTCTTATACCTGAATGACCCGTCACAGTTGATACTAATTATTCAATAACCCTAAGTGGTCGAAAGCCATTGAAGTTGAAGGCAACAGTTTTTTAAGTTAATCCCAAGCTTCTGGACTGGAGTTCATTCCCAAGCCTAGACAAGCAAAACAACACCAGCACCCCGGGTAGATTGGTCTCATCCACATTGGAAGGCAATAATTTGAAATTAAATCCTGAGATGGAGTCCCGTTGGCACTATGACATTAAGAGCACAGTGAGAGACAAGAGACACTGCTGGTCTATTTCCAGTCCTCTTGACTGTCTTGTCATTGTAACAAATTGGCAAAAACAAGAGAGTGAGGCTGATGAATTGAGTAACTCTCCCTCACTTTAAACGAAATACAGCTCAAGTCAAGAATACTAAATTTCAAAACCTTGGTCTTCTTTCGCATGCGAAGGAGGAACAATAATAAATATTCAGGTCAGCAACTGTTGAAAAAACTTTGTGATTTATTTAATCATGTGCATTGTAAATATTTTATTACTGTTGTGTTATTTAATGAAAGGTTTTTACTCAAGTAAGGTAGTTATTTGTTATATTGTCATGAGCATCGCTTTCAGCAAACAACTCACCCCCAATTTCAGGGATTTTCAAAATTTTAAGTTTGAGGGCCAAATATTTCTTTCGGACATACCGGGTACCCAGAGAGCCAGACTCACTGCTTTGGGGAACCCACGTTGACTTTTTGGCTTTGCTACTATGGCCTAGCACAAAATGTTATTTGTATTGTAAAATTTAGATAAAATGTTGCTTATTTAAAAGAAAAAAAAGTAAATAACTGTGAACATTAAATATAATTTCAGTGATGGTACTGAAATCTGACACTGTTCTAGTTCATTAACGTTATTAAAAGAAAAGCAGTATTATACTATACATTTTTTTCCTGGGTTGCTGAAAATTGTCAGTATGAAAATTGAAACTGACTTTTACGGGCTTAAAATGGTGCTCTAGTCTTGTGAATTAAAGTCAAAGCAACACTGGCCTTAAGCTTGTTTGTGATCACACTGTGTTCCAAACATTGTCAAGACTGGATCACATTCTCATGAAGTATCAAAAACTGCACCAAAAATCATTGTGCATAATCAAGTCCCTATGGTCTGCACGTGACTCATGTAAGAAACTTTTAAACACAATTTTTTCATCTGAGATTTATAATAAGTATCATAACTGCAATGCTCACTTCAGAAATTCACTGTTCAGGGTAATTCATTAAAAAAATATTATTAAAATAATTGTTTCTTCCTTTGTATTATTTAATTTCTGATGAAACTGAAAAATATGGAAAGCTACGCTCAGGAATTAAAGTATACATTTAAGATACATTTTGCATTATTGATATTATTATTAATGATATCTGTGCATCATAAAATTCTCTGTGCATATTTATCTACATGTCAAGTGTGTATATTGAAATGTACACAATGCCTAGCATTAAAAAACAAAATGAACCAGTAAGACCACACAACAAAAATTTAAAGAAAATAAAAAAGTCAGTTTATTATTCTTCATTTTCTTGGTACCGTATGTTAATTGAAAAAACTTACAGCAGCCACAATATTGAATATAAATTAATCATTATAATAATACAATTACACAAATTACAATTCAATAAACAACTTACTGGCATTAATACCGGTACCGGGTATCAATTATTAATCTATTATGTAGGAAAATTTATTTTTTTTTAAATAAGGTTAAAAAATGTTTAAATTAAAGTACATTTACATGCTTACTGGCAATTAAAGTAACGCAACTAACAGATAACATTGCTCTCTAATGAACTGCAGGAAACAATGTGATGGGGGAAGAAGGGTTAAAATTTATTTGGACATTGAATCACGTTCCAACGAATTGTGAAATTTTAAGTTACCTGGTACTTTTTCAACTATTCAAATCAGTTTTGTAAAAATTAATGCTGATTTAACATTTTTGTCAGATTATATCAGTGTTTACACTTTAAACTCACAATTAAAACATTCATAGTCATATTTTTTTTACCATAGAAATAATAGTTCTTTACAGTTCTTAAATTATTTAGCATTCACATATTTAAAAAGAAAAAAAATCAAAATCCATTTCCATTCTGATAAATAGTATGGCAATATTTGTAAAAGCAATTTAAGATTTTAAGATGTATGCAAAGAATCTTACTTCCAAATTGCCTCTCAACCTCATAAAATATGATAAATCTATTTGTATGTCAATCAAATACAATAATTCAGTAATGGTATCATAGCACAAGTTAAGCATAATGAATACCGGTACAGTAGAGCCCAGTTATGTCAACGGCTTCTGGTTTTACCAAAAAGCGTCAAGATAACCGATGATCAAGATAACTGAAAACCAATATGGTGGCAATAAATTAACATGTGTACATGATGTGCGTTAATAAATGCAGGTACTTCAGTTAAAAAAATTAAAATAGTTATTAGGAGCAAATTTAAAAAATTAAACCAGAATCAACTTTTTAACTTTTTGAGCTACGAATTTTTAAAGTGCGAGTTCGTTTGGTATTTTTTACTATGGACGAAGCCTCCACATTTTGTGACCTTATTCTGCTGACACTGATAGTGTCTTGGGGAATGACTATATAGTTTACATAAGGCAACGCATTCCTTTTTAATAAAATAATAATTAGGGACTACTTATTTGGAACATTCAACTTTGGCACACGATTATTTAATTAAGGCTTTCCCAGACCAATGGTTTAATAGCTTTTGCATACAGCAAACTCTTATGTATGAAACTCTGACGTAGTACCATGGCATAGCCATAATGCAAGTGACCATGAATGGCTGCCCATGACAACTTTTTGCACACGGCACATTATGATAATTTATAATATGGACTCTACAGAGTTTTTAAACCTCGAATTAAAACATATTTGTTTAAATTACTTCCACTTCTAGGATAATTCTAAAACACAAGTCCTTTTTTTTGAGAACTAAATAATTATTTTTAATTATGAAAAACATGTTTTTTATTGTTTGCTATTTTTTCTTGCTAAGTTCAAAAGCCGGCGATTGATCATGGGGATCGAGATAACTGAGGTTAAGAGGCAAATGTGGCCGCCTTTTGTGCTTGAGATATCAGGGTTCAGTTTCATAAAAGAATCAACATAACCGACGAGGAAATGCTAAGACAAAGAGAGAATTTGGCAGTTCCACTTCAAAAACGTCGGCATAACAGGTTTGGCGAATTAACTGCGATCGAGGTAAGAGGGTTCGACTGTAAATTTATTTATTTTATTTAACCACAGGCGTTGCATATATTGATAATTATTTTATGCCAAATAATTTCTTCATCTAAAACTAAAAGTATTTTTATATTTTCAAAAAACACAAGCAGTTTCAATTTTAATGTATATGACACATTTTTCATTTGCTAATGAAAGACGAGGCTAAATTAAATACCGGCACATCATATATTTTCCAGCTTAATGAAATGAAAGTAAAGCTGAAAAAATATCACAGGATAATCTTTAGTCGTTTATGTATAGCTTTAAAAAAAAGGATTTAGAGAGCATTTGATGTTTATTAATAATTAATATAAATAATCCAATAATGATTTATAGGGAAAGCATGATGTAATATTTTTAATTTAAAATTAAATATGTCATAAATAGTAAATCAGTTTTAAATGTCTTTAAATTTCATGAGAATATATATACAGTTTCAGACATACAAATTATTTATTCTAAGGAATTCAATTATTTGTTTTATAATATATAATGGTCTTATTTTTCATAACTGAAGAATTCAGACATTAAAATTTCAATGAAAAACTACCGGTATTGTTTACTTTTGTTTAAAATAAAAAATTGTAAAGCTTAATGAATATATGAGAGTTATTATCGGTTACTTTGATCAAGCACATATCTAGTGCCTGTCATTTATTATAGTTTGGCCAAGATTACATCAACTAATAAGACATATATTTATCTGAGAAAATACAAAAATAATCAGCATCTTGGTCTTGAGCTATCAAAACAGTGTTGCTTATATACTAACAAAATAAATAAATTTGATCAAATCCCTTTTTGTAAGTAAAAATTAAAATATTAAAAAAACAACAACACAAGTCTCATGCACTAATGGCAGTGAAGCTAAGAATAAATTATTTATGCCAAATGAAAAATAGTAGCTAGAAGAAATATTGCATTCCGAACATAATATTGCATGTTGGTATGTACATTTTTTCTTTTCCTAATTAGATTTAAATACAGTAAGTTAATTAGAAACTAGAAACATTTTTAAGAAGAGATTCTACTTCACGTTCCATTTGTTTAATAGTTCGATGATTCATAAGCAAAAGATTTCCATCAGGCAAAAACTTGGACAACACTATTTGAACTCTGTCAGGTTTTGAAATAATTTCATTGGGTTGAAGAATACTTTTACAGAGTATGTGTAATTGACGTACTAATAAACAAAGAGTAATTTCTGCTTGTTTTCTATTTTCATGACTGTGGCAAATAAAGGCAAGAATTAGACCATTCACAGCAGTCCAAATCACTCGCATGTCTTCTGAAAACGGGTCACCTTTGTAGAGTTTAAAATGCCCAGTTTCAAATTCAGGAACAACACTGTCACTTGATAAAATCTGAAGATCCGCCTCAGGACTCCTCGGATTCGTAGCCATGTTAAACTGGTAGACAGAATGCAATCTGTCTTCTATTCTTTTCTTTTGACTTTTTCTTGCACTTCTGATTTCGTCTGCCACGATCATTGGACTAGCATCTTTTGAAGAAGTGGATCTTGTTTTGAGCAATTCCGAATCGAATTCGAGGGGAAAATATTTATAAAACAAAGTAAACGGTGTGCCACTTTGAAAGGATGTGATCATAAACAATAGCACCATGTTAAGAATAGTTAATTGAAAAATCAAATACGTTCCATTTATACGAAGTTAAGGAGATATAGGCCTCTCACGTGACAATTAGGCATATTTATCATGTCATTGTGAGTGTACACACAAAACCATCAGATAAGATGAATTTTACGAAATTGCTAGTGACTTCCCTTTGGATCCGCCTACTTCGACGGGAGTGTGCAAAGAAAACAAACAAATGATAAATTAATTAACTTTTTACAAGATTTTAAAATTTAAAAAACCCTATAAACAAAATTTATATATCCGTTATAAAATTTAATATGGTGCAATGGGGTTTAGGTTGAAAATTTGGCTAAACATGCATACAAGTAACGCCACTATTATAAGAATCCCAATTAGTGCCCCCCCCCCCAGGCTTACAACTGCACATTATTACACACCCCTGAACTATATTAATATTCTAATGACCCACCAGCGTTTTCACAGCACATTTATTTCACCAACCATTTCAGAAAAACAAAAGAAAATATTACACACCAAACGCACTTTAAGAAGAATCTCATGTAGCACAGTTATCGGGAATTTTATTTCGTGAAATCAGTGGCATCATATTTCCTTCATCTTCACCTTGAAAATCAGGAAAAACTTATTTTTGGGGGTTGGGGCTGAAAATTTGATAGGATTTATTGTCATCGGTGACGAGTCTTTGTTCTTTGTGCCACGTTTCAGCTCGATTGGTTGACGCGAAGTGGGTAAAAATTGCAATTAGTTGAGTAAAAATCATCGCCAATCGTCATGATACAAAATATGCACCCCTTCTCAAAATAAATAAATAAATAAATATATATATATATATATATATAGATTATATACAAATAAAATTTAACTATGCCATTAATGCATGCACTTGGCAACACAATGCCACAATATTTAGTTTACCTGACTTTAACTGATTCAATATTTAGTTTACCTGACTTCAACTGATTCACTGATTCAATATTTAGTTTACCTGACTTCAACTGATGCACTGACTCAATATTTATAAATGGAATAAACTAACAAATACTTAATAAAGAAATAGACAACAATAATCAAACACACATCAAGCGTTTGCTAAAAGTACTTAAACTCTAGACCTACTATTGTGTAAAATACAAACTATTTTTAATTGATATTTCTTTCAAATCGCTTCGGTTTAAGCAGATGAAGTATAGATCTAACCCAATATTTCAGGAGCCTTTGTCAGATATTTGGAATTGCAAAAGGATTTTCTTGGTTACGTCCCTTGGATAGCATTTCTTCTAAAACCGACTTTCTTTCGGTTAGATGTAGAGGATGAACTCGTATTTTCACTTGAAGGTGTTGATAAAAGAATAAAATACCGTGGTTTCCACATTGTACGTTGATGCACCCAAAATGGTTATTAAAAATAGTATTGGCAACACTTTTTTAGAATTTAGAAAGATAAACTTATTGAGCGACACCCTTTTCCCCATCTTGTTGTTGGAAATATCCTGCAGGGAAATTGAAACAACGATTTAATTTTTTTCAACCATTGGCGTAGCTTGGGTTGGTACTAGCTTGGGTTGGTACTAGCTTGGGTTGGTACTAGCTTGGGTTGGTACTAGCTTGGGTTGGTACTAGCTTCGGTTGGTACTAGCTTGGGTTGGTACTAGCTTGGGTTGGTACTAGCTTGGATTGGTACTAGCTTGGGTTGGTACCACCCAGAGCCACAAACGAAAACCTCTGACGTTGGCTGAAAATGCCGCGACTCCATAAAAAGAAAACAAGTACCGCCCGGGGTCGACCCCCCCCCCCCACACACACACCCTGTCACTCCCACCTTCCTTCGCCCCTGTTTACAACCCAATAAAAACTTGCGGTTTGTGAATATAACATAACCCAACGAAATACGTTGACAACAACATGTGGTGAGTCCCCAAACCAAGAACATCTTCAGCTTATTTCCAGGACTGTTAGTGTAATTAAGTATTTCATATCACCCCCCCCCCACCCTATTGAATGGCAATCGTCACTGGTAGCCATTGATGCTCAAAACTCAATGTTTGCATTGCCTTGTTTACAATCATCCCAAACCATATCCCCTCCCTCTTTGTGTCTGTGTGTGTGTTTGTGTGTGTGTGTGTGTGTAAACACGCCACCCTCCCACACTGACCATTTCGGACTACCGACAACTACATTGCCCAGGGAGCCACCATTCATACCGCCGCCTCTCTACTAACCAACCGGCAATCCGCAAACATCGTTAACTGAGGGCAACAGAGAAAAGCAACAGCTATAACTAGTCTCCCAGCGAGGATTTAAAAAAAAACAAAACTAAATATAACTAGTCTCCCCATCGAGGCTTTAAAAAAAGGCCAACACATAACGCAAACAGACCGAGATCTCGCCGGTCACAATGAAAAGCAATCAACTCTCATAATTGTACCTATTACAACGACAGGGCCGAGTGGTCTCGTCGGACGGCCCCCTTATCCGCCCGCAATTAACGGGGCCCGCTCCACTACACCACACCTAACTCCCTCTTGATTTGTCTTGATTGGTATCGATTTCCGAGATCGATGTCACTGACTGTTTGGGGGGGGGGCGGGGAAACAAAACGACTGCATTAGTAAACAGCCGCGGCCGATGACCGTATGTCCGGCAGACGGGACGGAGCAGCTGTTTGCACGTCACGGAGTTTTTGGAGGTAACGTTCGGGGGGAGGGGGGAGTGGGGGATTTTTTGTGACATTGGGGGGAGTGGAGATTTTTGGTGTATTGTAATTGGTTACATTGGTGAAGTTTGTGGCTCAAGCCGAAGCAAGAAAATTTCAAGCAATATGCCAGAAATTAATACACCTTTTTTTTTTTTTTTAACACAAATATATGCTAATTATTTTGGGCAAAAATAAATTTTAGTTTTTTTTAATAATCATCTAGGTAATTTAGTAAATTTGAAAAACAGAAAATAAGAACTACCGTATATACTCGCATATAAGCCGAATTTAGAACTATAAAATACAATACTGACATCCGGGGGTCGGCTTATATGCGCATAAAACAAAATGGACACAAAGGACAGGCACTAATGCCAATTTTCCAGCCACACATTTTCATGAATATCTGTCTCTTTATTTGGTTGTGTGTACAGAGTACTAATATATATATACAGATATTATTATAGCAAACAATGTGGAAAGAGCAGAACACGTTTTTGTGTCATTCCAAAAGGTAAACAAACTGGTATGTAACATAAACGTAAGCATTTTACACCTTTACAGTAACACATTTCTATGAACCAAAAATATGGAGTAAAATTAGACAATTGTATGGTTGGCTTTTATGCGGGTTTTTGCAAAAACTGGCCATTTTAAAGCAGTTTTAGGGGGTCGGCTTATATGCGATGTAGGCTTAAATGCGAGTATATACGATAATTAAAAAACAAAAAAATTTTTCTAAAACATTGCTATCGACCAACGCCGCATCGTATACCACAGTATAATGATAAACCACCCCAGACACCTCTCCTTAGAATCAAAACTGCAGTTGGTCAGAAAGGCCGCCCTTCTGTATAAAAAAAGTGCCTCCCCGGGGTGGACCGTCCTCCCCCCCCCTTCGCCCAACGCCCCTACACCAGTGAAACCACCACCATATCCCCCTTTAGCATTATATAATATGTGCATAGACCCGCCTTAGAGGTTTTAAGAACATATAATTCGTCTGTCAGTTGGTTTGGGAGGAGGGGTGAAATGAAGTTAAACAGTTTTGTTTTAAACAGTGGGAATGTGATGTATTTGTCAGAAAGAGACGAACACTGACGCCCAGAGACACTCGGGCGGGTGGATCATGGATATGGGACATTCAGGTCGACAAAAATACATTCGGATCAACGCTTCACAGGATCCGTTATATTTTTTCTTTCTTTTTTAATGTGACTGCTCTACCATACAGTTGTGACTAAAAATGTCAGAGTGATGTAAACATATAGAGTTGAATAAATACCTTATAGCAGTGCTGTTCATGCATGACAGACAAGTAATCGAATCAATGGCTGGACGGACGAACCGTTTGTATAGATCAGTTGAGGAGTTCAGGACATGGCACTTACATTTCCATGACTTCCGGTGTAACCATGAATACTGTTACTTCATTACAAGAACCATGCTCAGACAAATTTGGAGGAGGAAAAAAAAAATGCATCTGTAACGTGGAACAGGGTGCGAACTAGCAAGTTTTATCGGTCCTCCGGCAAGTAATTGGACCTTATATCAGGGAGGCAGGGGGGG